GGGGGGGGGGGGGGGGGGGGTTCTGTTGTTAGATTATCGCCTAAGAATGTGTGTGGGCTTTGTGTACTCTTGTGTAGGTCTTTTGGAAGGTGGCGGGGTGGCGGCTCAAGACAATCTACAAATAAGTTTGTGTAATCCACGTCATTTTTCTTCATTATTATTTTTTGGATTCCACTGTTTATTTCAAACTGAATAAAAGTTTCCTTAAATCATATAGTTTGACTGAAGAAAGTCAGCAACTAATGTATCTTATTCTTATAATGTTATCATTATTTATAAAAATGCTGATTTAATATGTCTAAACTAGATTTGACCCGCGCTTTAAAAGCGCGAATATATTTTTATTTTAATAAAACTGAATTAAATTTATAATTTTGACTAGAAAATAAATAGTTTTAAAGTTTTCAATTTGTGTTTCAAAACAATTGTTCTATTATAATACTTGATTTTCAGCGGTGTTTTCATATCTAACCCAGACCTATGATTGAACCGATAAATCCGGTGATATGTGTATAATTCAGTTCAATTTAATAAAAAGAATTATAATTATAATCTTAGAAAATCTGGGAAGAATCTAAAAATTCGCTATTGACCTAATATCCAATATGAGATGATCCGCTGAAAACCCAAAAATAAATAATATTTTTGAATGTTTATTAAATATTTCATACTTCTTAATATTATATAAAATTGAAAAAAATATTTAGACTTTAATGAGATTTATATTATGTCATTTAAAGAAAATGAAACAATGGTCATATGAAACTTCATTATTGATATAAAAATATTATTTTCTTTTTTTGGTTACTAATAAGCTATGATAAGTTTGTATTTTTATTTATGTTTAGATCTAAAACTTAACTTTAAGATAAGTTTAAAAAAAAATTGAACACTAAAAATTGGCGTATTGTTATTATGTAAAAATGACAATAATATTTTTTTTAAATTTACATGTATATATTCATATCCGATCTTTAAATTATACTATTATAGATGGAAAAATGATATTCAAATTAAATAGAAAATATAATCTGTATAAAAATTAATATTATTATCATTCACAAAATATGGAAAATATTGATTACCATAGTTATAGAGAATATTCTATTTTTAGTTTAAATTAAATGTCAATAGGAGAGATTTGTAAATATATTGAAATATAGGGGCAAAATCCTAAATTTTCAAAACATGATCCTGCTTTAATAGTATAGATATATTACTCATTTTGTAATAATGCATACATGTAATATGTCCGGATAAAAAGAATATTTTGGGTTTATTCAATGCAAAGCTTAAATACATCATTCAGAAATGATTTCTGGCTTCTTGTTGCTCCATTTATCTAACCTTTTAGAAGCTTCATCAACCTGAAACAAGCATTACATTTTACTAGTCTTCAAGTGTAACAAACCAATGAAACTTAGACCAATGGTAAGCTAACATAAACGTGGTGCGTAGCTTGAATGGTTAGAATGCTTACTTCTTTTGTCCAGTCTGTTCTAAATATGACCCAAACCAATATAACCGTTTGTATAAGCGTACCACCAATCATTCCCGTCCATATACCCTGAAACAATTACAAATGCTATCATTAGTCTTTGGTAACTACTCTCGTAGCTAATACAAGAATTGTATGATATTAAAAAAATAACTGTTAGTTATTTGGAAAAAAAAGCAAGAGAAGTATATGAATGCGAATAAACAAGTTAGTTCGATATCTTATTCTATACCTTGGCATCGTACTTGAAGTAAAACCCAAAGAGAGCTCCAATAGGAATTCCGATAATGTAATAACATCCAACATTAACTTTGGCCACAAACGTTTGCCAACCACATCCAACCGCCACACCTTAAACAAATTTTCTCAATTGTAAGAACTAAGAAAAGAGTCATTTATATATTTTGGTGTATATGCAATTTTAATATGTATTTACCTGATAGCACAGGTTGGATTCCATTGAGAACAAGCGTTACAACCAAAAAGGGGCAAAGATCAGAAACCGCAGCTGAGACCTTTTCACCTTCGGTGAACGCATAGCTCAAAATGTCACGGCACAACCAAACTATAGTGGCTATGATCACACTTATGATTAACGAATATATGTTGACGATGATTACAGAAAACGCTGCTGATTTAGGGTTCCCAGCTCCTAGTTCATTACTCACTCTTACACTAGATAAACATTATAACATCAAATTTAAATTTTGACACTTGGACAAATTTATTGTAAAATAATAATTCATAAATCGTATTTAAGTGTGTGTAAAACATATATATATATATATATATATATATATATATATATATATATATATATATATATATATATATATTAATTGGAGAAGATAAATTGGTTAAACATTCAATTGTATATAATCAAAATTAAAGAAAGGAAGTTGGGACAAAACAGACCTAATCGCTGCGTTGAATCCAACAGATATCATGAACGCCCAACCAGCAATCGTCAAGCTGCAACACAAAATAATATGAATATTACTATCTCCATTCCATTAAAAAGCATTTTCTAATATTATCACATATATCAAGAAAACTTATTAATTTTTTTTTATCATAAATACATTGATTTTTCATTTAGCAGTTCCCTAAACAATTAGTAATTTTAAAAATTGAATTAGTTTTTTGAAGTTTAGAATTTAATATTAACTAATAAAAAATTCTTAGAAATTAGAAAAATATATACAAGTGATTTTGCGCATTCGAGTCGTTAATGTCCTTAATGAATATATATATATATATATTAGCTAGAACATAAAAAATGAATAAAAATTTATTTGATTATATAAAGTTTTTAAAATTAATTATAATGAGAATTATTCAAAATCTAAAATATATTATATTTTTAAAAATATAATTCATATATATATATATATATATATATTGTATTCTTATCTACAAAAATTTTGATAGAAAAATAAAACAGAAAATACGTAACTAAATATTAATAAAAACTTAACTTTATATAATTAAAAAGAGAATACTGAATGATTTTTTAAGATTTATTTACTAATAATGAATATATTATGCAAAGAGATTTTCAAAAAGAATTATAATACGTAAAAAATTCAAATGAAAATACAAATAATAATTTATAATTATAATTTTTAATTAGTAATATATTTATTAAAATATAAAATATTTAATATTGTATACGCGATCAAAACTCCTAATCTATTTTTGGGAAACAATTTTTTTCTAAATTTTCTAACTGAATGGAATGAAGGAATCCCACGTATATTAAAGAAGCATTGTCATTTAATGTTTTTACCTTACGTTTGCCACGTGGCAATCTCACAGCGATTTGAAAATTAATATGTTAACATGTTATGTGTAGAGAGTTTTTTATACAAATTATATATAAATGTGTTCACACTATATACTATTTTACATTTCTTCAATACAAAATTTACATACACGGTGCTATAGATTATACAAACATTCTACACAGAAAGATAATTTACAAAAAAAATCACTATTATCTATATTTATTTTATTTTTATTTAATATATTTTAATAAAACATTATATTTCATGTGTTATTTTGAACAATTTTTTATGGTAATTACGGTATCTTTATATATTTATCAACCACTTTTATATATTTTTTTACATACACATACATATAAGAGTGGAGACAAATCAGATAACTGAAGTTTTGGAGGTATTCGTTATCCAATGTTTTTCATCCGTATAATATTTTTGATTCGATTCGTAGTCATCCAGATATACGTGTTCCAAATAATTTTTTTTAACTCGATTCGTAAAAATAAATAAAGAAATTAAAAATATAAAATACAAAATTTTGTTACAAAAAAAAACTTATTTACTTTTTGAATACTACCTAATTTAATAAATTTAGTAAATAAAAATATTGTAAAACTTATATAGAATATAAGTATATAGCATAGAGTTATATATGTATATATAATGGATCGGATCCAATATCCGTTTTTTTAATATTAATATTTGTGATTTGTTTGTGTTTTACAGATATTGCATATTAGTATTTGATTTTCTTTATAGAGTTGATATTCTGTATTTTTTGTTCGAATCAAAAAGGATGACGAATCAATTTAAAATAATAATAGTTTTAGTTATCATTAAAACCAAACAAATAATAATAATTTGTCTAAAATTTCCTATAGCATGGAACCAAACAAATAACATAATAGTTATCATAAAATCCAAACATCAAGATTGACTAAAATTTCATACAACATGAAACCAAACAAATAATAATAATTTTTAGGTATCATAAAAAAAGCTAAAAACTTCAAGCATTTTAACTGAATAAACAGAATAAATATTAACTAAGAGTAGTAATTATATTTTTACTAGATTAAAAACTAAAAAAAAAAACTAACCTAAAATCGAATCAATATCTAGATTAAACAAAAATAATATCTTTTAATCTTAAGAAATAAGGAAATTAATAATGTTATTTTGCCTAAGTCACAGATTATTACCTAATATATATTAATCGTGAAAAATTGAGCTTTAATCATCATACACCATTGCTTTAATACAACACTAAAGTTTTAACTTTTCAGTATTAAAAAAAGGCAGATATTATTATATTTTAAAGATGCGACTATCTATTGCCAGAATAAAAGATACGAATGCTGTCATGATCTGGTACAAGTTCCAAAATCGAACGGCCCCATTTTGTTGGGCAGGAAATAAAGAAAAGTAGCCAGGGCATAAAACAGAAAAGGAAAAAAGAAATACTAAAAAAATTATTCTTAGATTCACTCACCACTATTACAAGTCATATCATATATAAAAAATAAAAATAGAGAAAAGAATTGTAAAAAAAATTAAACGATCTTAATATCTTTAGTAAAATCCTAACCCAAAAATTTTAAAAACTAAATCGTAAATTATAATCATGAATCTTAAATCTTTAAATAAAACTTAAAATTTTGGATAAATCATAAAATCTAAGATACAGGGTCTATGGTTTTGCTGACCCTAATGCATAAATCATAAAAAAAAACTAAATCCTAAATCATAATCACTAAATTTTTAAATAAATCCCAAATTCTTTTGAAAATCATGAACTATTAGATAAATCCTAAAGATTTTATTGACGGTGTTAATAACATTATTTTTTAATAGTTAATATTATTATAGTTATTATTTAATTTTTATCAATAAAATATGCGTTAATAAAATGTAATTGGCTATTAGGTTAATAGTGAATTTAGATGTTCATCCTAGAAAATAAACTCAAAAATAAGTCTACTGGAAAACAAAGAGCATATTGGCAGATTTTGTCAAAGTGGGGTTTTCAACATTAATTAATAATTTAATTAATAATTTAAATTGAAATTTGAAAAATTCACAAATAGATAAAAATATGGTTTACTCGTTATAAATAAAAAACTCAACATTTTTTGGTATATTTGATATTTGGTTTATCTTGTTCGATTAATAAAAATTTGGACTTATATTTGGTTTATTAAAAATAAATATTTTCAATTTAATGTATTTGCTAAAATTTGCTTATCTGCAAGTTATGTTATGTCTTACTTATTTTTGTCGACAGTGTGTTATGTCTTACTATTTGTTACTTGTGAAGTGTAGTTGCAAGGTAGTTAATTATTTATATGTTATTTGATAATAATTTATTTATTTTACCTACTTAAAACTTTGCACGTGAATTTGAGTCAAGCTTAGATGGTTCAAAATTAAAATTAAACAATTCCTTTATTTTGTAAGAATTTTTTTTTACTTTTATATGTTTTAAGTCGATATAGGATAATATTAAGATGAAATAAGAGGATATTTTTATTAAAAAAATCTAAAATACTTTATAAATATATATTTTTGTTTAATTCACTATTCTTTAAACTATTTATTTTATTATATTTAGTTAATTTTTAGTTAATGGGTAATAACTTTTGTAATATTTGATATTTATCTTGCATTTTAAGTAGTCGAAACCAACGATCTAATACTCGACTTTACAGTTCAAGTAAGAGTTAAATAAATTAACATTTATTTTGAAGGAAATTTTTTTGGTCAAAGATAGGTCTGGGTGTTTTGGTACCTCTTAGGGTATGAGTACGACCCATTTGGGTATCGGTTTCTTTGGCTTTTGAAAAATGATCCCATTCAGGTATTACAAAAAAACGGGTCGGGTTTGAGTCGGATCCTTCCACTTACTGATGGGTTCCGGTTTTAACTGAAGTAACTAAAGTACTCGATTCTATTCGGGTATTTTATATATAAACTACTCAAACTTATCTAAAAATAACTAAAATCCTTAAAAAATATTCAATATATATGGTTTAAATTGGTTATTTTTTTATAGAAAGTAATCACAAATACAATGTTTTTTGGGTATTTTGTATCTAAAACATCAATTTTATCCAAAACAGTTGATATATTTGATATATAATTTTAATTTTAGGTATTATTATTACTAAAGGTATAATTATAAATATTATTTTCATATATATTTATATGTTTGGATATGTTCAGATACTCATTCGGTTCTCGGTACGGATCAGGTTCAGTTTTGATTTTTTCGGGTTTTGAAAAAAAAGATCCTTCAAATATTTAGGCTATATCTGATCGGATTCGGTAGCTTGATTTTCAGGTGGTTTCGGGTAAATACTTCAGATAAAGATATTATGCCTAGCCCTAGTGAAAGACTTACCAAACGGAGAGAGAATCAAGAGCAAGTTCCGGATTCTCAAGAAGTCCGGCAAGAAGAACCAAGATCTGAAAATACCAAGTCTCTAGGCAGAGCATCACGGCGGAGGCCGCGGACAGTTTGAAGAAACTCGGTAACCCCGAGAACGCTTGCACACTAAACCCTCGCCACGTCTCACGACACCGTTCACTCGTCACTATGTAAACAAACTGCGCAGCCACTATAATCCACCACGAGAGGCTGAGCACAAGCGACGCTCCAAGAAGCCCAATCCCAAGCTTGTATATAGCGAGCCAGCTTAAGAGAAGGTGAATAAAGAGAGTGGCCGCTGAGATGTAAGCACTCGGAGCAACGATGCTTTGTGACTGTAGGAACTTCTGGATAGGGAAGTTTAAAGCGTAGGCAAAGATTTGAGGGATGAGACCGTAGACGAAGAGAGACGCGGCGGAAGCTATTTCTGGAGACTGTCCGAGAAATAGTAAAATGTTTTCAGAGAAAACATAGATTAACGTTAGGAGGACGCCGGTGAGAGTGAGTAGCACGGTGGATCTTTGGAGATAAACGCCGAGCATCTCGTATTTTTTACCTCCAAACGCTTGTCCACATAGCGTCTCAACCGCACTCCCCATTCCTAACTACACATTTTCAAACACCAAAGCTATTACAAAAAAAAAATTTACCAAAAACTGTTATTATAAAAACATCCCAATGTCCATAATAGCAAAATACATGTACTGGTTTTGGGACAATCGGATTTAACATTCGTTTTAGCAATCAAATTTCAAATGCTTAATATATATGAATCATTAGGCCTTCATGTTATCATTAGGCCTTCATCAAAAGCTTAAATTTTAGGGCCGGTTCGCAAAACATAAAAACCAGTATCATTTTGTTACCATGAGACCGTAGGCGAAGACTTGTATTCCACGGTTTCCGAGAGAAGCGGCGGCGAGTTCTAGGTTTCCTAGATGGCCGGAGAAGATTTGAGTTGACATAGACATGAGGTAGTTTATCATGTAGACTATGACCGCAGGCGCAGCAAGCTTGAAAAGAAGCTTGGATTCAATCATCGTGGCTTTACGCAGGCGGATAAACAGGGGAGTTTCAACGTCGGTTAACACTCTCTCTAACTCGCCGTTGTTTGACTCCGGCGGCGGAGAAAGCTGATCAGGCTGGAGAAGGGGTTGGTATACGCCATCATTTTGAGACGAGTCCATGAGATTTTGCTCGGTTTAGGGATGTGCAAGTCTTAGTGTATGTCTTTTGATGGGTGGCGGTTGGCGGCTAATAAGTACACTCGTGATTAGTATGTTCTTTAGATAAGATTCTAATGCTTGTGTAAGCCCTCGTCACTTATTTTCATTACATAAGCCCTTTAAGCAAAAAAAAAAAAAAACCCATTACATATCATTCTGTATTTTTTTCCCAGTGGACATACAATTAAGGCTCTACATGTTCGAGTGTTTTTTCTCTTAGTTTCTTCCAGTTGATGAAAACAATACGTGATAGAATTAAACTTAATATATAGGGGGAAATGATTCTAACTCGTTCTACTAGTAAAATCATAAGGCAAAACAATTTTTGAAAACGGAACAGCCTAATAGCACTTTTAAAGAAAAAAACTGGTTACACAAATGGGGAGAAAATTTTAACGGAATAAAATGTTGTTCTAGCAAAAGAAAAATATTTGTTATAGTCAACATGCAAGCACAGCCTTTTATTTTTGTAACCAATTGATATCGGCGAGTGATTTCGTATTTTTGAAAATTTGTTTTGTTATTCTATACAAGGAAACAAATCACCTCAAGCATCAACCATATCACCGTTTCACCTACCCATAAACGTCTTAAAAGGTAACCAGATATTCAATGCTTTTGTTGTAACAAAATCTTACTCTGTTCATTCGTACGCGGTCACTAATTGACATAGGTTTGATTTCTATGTTAGGTCTACAAAATACTTCATTTATTGACATAACTAAGTTTAGAGTATTACATAACTTCAATGAATATATGCTTTTAAGTTTGCTAAAGAATTGATAGCCGTCAAAACAGTAGGCTTTTACGGCTGCGGTAAATAATTACCAACCGCTGAATCTCAAAAACATAGAGCTTTATAGTATAACAAATGGGTGAATCTACAAGGAGTCCTTATAAGAAAGGCAACTCCTTAAAAGTATCAGAAAATTGTTATTCTCGCAAGCTAAATCTTAATCGGAGAAACTAAATGTTGTAATGGTTTGGGTTATATCAGCATGGGTATATTAATCGGTAGAATTTTTTTTTTTGAGCAACATATTAATCGGTAGGATACACAACCTATTTCATAATATATTATACACACACAAAATTGGGGTACATCATCATAATGTTAGCTTCTGTGAGAAAAGAATCCCCCTTCAAGTCTTGTTAATTTCTACAACTACCACTTACATAAATACTGTTTCCATTAATCAATCAAACAAATTAATGGAATTGTGGACAGCCTTGATTTGATGGAAAGTTTTAGCTGAAACTATTAAATCTCAACCAATATAGTGGTGGGTGCAATTTATGATCTCTGAATAACCACTATATACTTGTGTCTGGGAGAGTTAATACGAAATACATAGATAGAACTGTTAATGAATGTATAAGCAAAATATCCAAAAAAAAAATGGCCAAAGAAGTTCTCAGATAAATAGGGGAGGATTTCAACTTACACTTCTTGTAAAAATAAAATACTACTAGATTTTGATCCAAGTTTGTAATATTTTATGATGAAATTTTCATTAATAATTAAGAAATATTTTATTAGTTTAAAAAATTATGTATTTAAAATATTTTTGCATTTAAATCAGTGTTTTTAAATTTAACTCGAACCAGTAGTTTAATTAGTTAATCTAATGATTCGATAGTTCGATTTAGATGTTTAAAAATATTCATATTTAAAATTTCACTAAACACTGAGATCAACCGATTGAACTGATGGATAACCAATATTTAATATTTAAATCTATAAAATTAATTTCTATTTATTTTCTGTTATTTTATAAATTATTTGAACTTTCAAAATTATTTATTTTTTCTGAATAACTTGAAAGAAAATTGTTATAAATTATTAAAAAGACGAGAGACAATATTTTATATTATTTGAATACAAGATTAACTATAGTGTTGTTTGGAAACATTGATAATAGTATAAAGAAATAAATATATTGTTTGAAAATATGGATAATAAATATAAAGAAAGGAATATTAGTGATTTAGTATATGTTTAACTATTAAGTAATTAGATGTTTTTAATTTAAAAACTTACAAAATAAATTTATGTCCAATACAATGTTTCTGTTTTAATAAGATAGATTAAACCATCAGACTAATAAGTGCATTTTCAGATACAACTTTATGGTTTCAAAGAAAGCAAAAATATAAGAGTATGTTAATGGAGAGTTTTTAGGATGTGATTCTTAACAGAATATAAAAAAACCGTCTCTAAAATTTTAATTAAAAAAACTAAGAACTGGCTTTTAAATATCACAAAGGAGACATAATAAAAATACATTGTCTTTCATTGGCAACCTATTAAGTATTACCACCCAAGCAAGAAAGGCATGCTTTGGAATTATGAACATTAAACCAAATTGTCTTGTGCAAAAGAACTGATGGAGGAGCAGGATTCAGAACCTCCCAAGTTTTTAAGGCTACAAAATGATCAGGTTCCAAATCTGGATTATCCCGCCCTAGGAAAACATCAGGAAGATGGTGAACATTGTTATAAATGAACTGAGATGGCCCTTTTCGTACAGTCTCTACAAAACAAAGTTTGCCCTTTTCAAAAAATAGCAACGGCCACTATCTACATTCAGTGTATGACTTTTAGATATTTTGTATTCGTAGTGTTCTTTATAAATAATAGGGAAGATTACTATCATGTTATTATTACTAAAATAACGTATAACTAATTTTAATTACTAGATTGTTTTGTATACCCAGAATACCCCTATTTATTTTGTTAACAAAATATATATTTACAAAAAATGCCATTAGTATTTTTTGTCACATCATCAAGAAAACTAAAAAAATTTGAAATAGGTAAATAAGTCTGCCATACAAATTTGTGAGAATTGATGGCAAATTTATTAATCTCTGGCAGATTTATTTCTTTATGCAGACTTATTAGATAGACTCCATATCATAGCAGATTTTAAGAAAAAAGTCTACCACACATAATCGTAGACTTAATTATGTTCGTAGATTTGTTTTAGGTTGACAAAAGTTTTTGGCAGATTTTTGTCCTATGATAGCAAATCTATACTATAACAGATATTTTTGTGATTAATATTTTTTATTATAACAAGATACAAACGATTATACAATCAAATAATAGGAAGTATCTTTTTTTTTTATCAAAAAACATACTTAAATTTCAAAAGGAATCAGTCAGTAGCAGATACACGAGGCTGAAGGGAATACAAAGCTGATTTCGCTAAAGAATCAGCTACAACATTTGCTAAACGCGGAAGGAAATTAAACGAGATAGATTCGAAAGATGAAGCCAAGATACTGATATCATGAAAAACTCCTTTCAAGACAATATCTTGGGCCTGAGAGTTCAAGAGCAAGATGAGAGCCTTAGAGTCAGAGAAGACATTTAAGCAACTGACGTGTGAAGAAATTGCTGCATTCACTGCAGCTTTAACCACCAAGGCCTCAGCTACCAAAGCTGAGGGAACAAAGCGACGGTGAGATGAAGATTTTTCTGAGTACTTGCCGGAGGCGTCATGGAGATACCATCCAAGCGCACAGTTTCCTGATGATGAGTTCCAAGCTGCATCAGAAAAAAAGACCAAATATAAGAGTTGGAGGGGGGGGGGACCTGTAACGTTGGGCCTACATGGAGTGGTAAAGGATCTTTTCCAATACGCGACTGTGCTGTCTTCCAAGCCCGAGCATCTTGAATGGATTTAAGCACAAAGCCTTGTTCCGAGAAGAAATTTTCTTCAAACACAAGTTTATTCATGTTATTCCATAAGATCCAAAGGATTCAGGGATACAAAGGTCTCTTCCCTCGTCCTAAAAGTGGGAGGGAAATCATCCTACAACAATGTTGCAGTAGGGAAGAGATCAAGTTGATGCTAGGAATAGACGGCTTGTAAAGACATGGGACTAAGTCCCAGACTCTTACCACAAAAGGACATTGGAGGAGCACATGAAGCTCTGTTTCCTTGGCACCACATCGCTTACAAACCGGGAAAACATAGAGGCCCCTGCTCTCTAATAATGACCCCACCGGTAATGCTTTACTATTAGCCTTCCAGAGAAAGTGTCGAATTTTTGGTGATGTTTTCACTTGCGAAATGAAAGTCATCCAGTTGAAGTTTTGATTAGCATGATCACCTTTGCAAAGCTTAGCCACTGCATAACCCGAATTTGTTGTATATATTCCAGAGGCGTTAAGGCGCTACACTCTTTCATCATTTAGATCGAAGTAGCTTGGGATCAGTTTACAGATTTGTTCCTCATAATGAGTTAATGTTTCTCTTATGATGCGACTATCCCACTCTTTAGACACATGATCAACAAACTTGCTAACAGTCCATGATTGCGTCTCTTCTGTCGGGGGGCCTATCAGAGACACCAGACTCTCTGTAGATAACCACGGTTCATTCCACATCCCAACATCATGACCTGATCCCAGTGTCCATCCCAGACCTTCACAGAGTAAGTCTCGCCCTATTAAAATGCCTCTCCAGCCATGGGAAGATCCACTTGCAGTGTGAGATTCCAAAAGGGGTCTTATGACAATACTTGCCAAGGAGAATCTTCGCGAGAAGGCAAGAGGGATTCTTCAGGATTCTCCAAGCAATCTTAGCTAACATGGCATCATTGAATTGTGCAAGTTCTCGGAAACCAAGGCCTCTGGCACTCTTAGGTACCGAAAGTTTCTCCCACGAAACCCAACACATCTTTCGTACCTCCGGAGAAAGATCCCACCGAAATCTCGTAAGGACCGACTGAAGTTGTTTCACTAGTGACTGAGGTAGTTTGAAACAAGACATGGAGTATGTTGGCATCGCCTCTAAGACTGCTTTTAGGAGAACTAATTTTCCTGCTCTTGAGAGAAATCTCGATGTCCAACTGTATGCTTTTTACAGCAACCGATCCACCAAGGCAGCAAAATATCTCTTTTTCGACCGCCAAAATGTTCTGGTAGGCCGAGGTACTTACCAACACCTCTCTCGTTGCGGATGCGGAGCAGCTCACGGATCCTATGCTTTGCCTCAATCGGCGTCTTTGAAGAGAAGGTGATGGATGACTTGTCAAAGTTTATGCTTTGTCCAGAAGCATTCTCAGACTTTTTTAGGATTTCGATCAGTGCTGCACGGCTCTTGTAATCCGT